TATTATATTTTCTAATTTTTGTAATTTGTAAATAAATTATACTTAAATATATTGTTAGCTTTTAAGTTAGTTTTTAAGATAGTGCAATAAAAAGCATGTATTATACTTAATGCACTTAATAATAAAAATAAAAATAAATAAAAATAATTCTGGTGCATGCCACAAACCTGTATCAGAAGATAAGGGAAAGGTGAGAAAAGAAAACAAGTGAGACAAAAAGATCAACACAAGTATAATATTAAATGAATAAACACAGCGAGTTTTAACCAACGGCAATCAAATCAAATAACAGCAGAAGCAATGTATGCGCTAAGGGAAAAGCTTCAGTCGATTTAGTAAAAACAGGCGCTCGTCATAGAAGAAAAATCACTTGTTGATGATTTCTTTAATCAAGGTACTTCCATACATCTTGGTTCGTAGTCACGTCAAGGTAATTCCATAGATCTTGATTTGTAGTCACGCCAAGGTAGTTCCATACATCTTGATTGGAAGTCACGTCAAGATAGTTCCATATAACTTGATTCGTCTACACAAATGATCAAAATTGTCTTTAACTTCCAAAAATAAAAATTATGTTGTAACGACTCCTGGACACCTCAGCATTATACCTCAGCATTATCGCCGAACAAAACCGTGTTGTTACAAACTCACAAACCAAGAAAACATCAAAGTGCAAATAAAATGACGAAAATACAACTGGTTTGAGCACACCGCTGGAGAAGAACAATCCGGCATGAAACCAATAAATCATTTAACGGATTAAGATGTTTACCATTAAACAGAGCAAAAGCTAGCAATTCTATGTAAATAGTCTATGTTCCTGATGAAATACGGCTTTATAAAATAATTCACGTGCTATTTGTTTTTTTTTAAAGCCAAAAGTTGGTTATTGATCTCCAAACGTGCAATGTTGCAAAATCAGGTTTTTTATGTTTTTTATGCTCAGTGCACTAACGAAAATATTTGGCCTTGTTTAGTGAGACAGTTGGTAATTGTAACTTAATAAATATTTTGTAAATTTTGTAAATTATAAATTAATGCATATTTGGTCAACTCAGAACTTCGTGAATTAATGCATTTTTCATTATGTTAATTTGTCAATTTAACACTAAATTGTAAATATTATATTTTGATGATGTATCAATTTTACTTATTGTACGCTTATTGCAATTTTGTATGTAAACAGAATTCATACCCCAGACAAATAATTATATGTGCATCATATTTTTTCAAAATTCAAAAAAATTTAAATATTTTAAATTTTTTCTGGGTATGTGGTTATGTTTATAATATGGTGTGAAATATAAAAAAACAAAAAAGTACCAAATTTAAATCAAATTTATAATAAAAACACTTATTAAAAGATTACTTTCATAGTAAATAATTATATGTGCATTTTTTTATTTTGGTCTGTTGATTTAATAAATGTTGATGTGATTTTAATATTAATAGTTAATAGTTTTTCCTTTGTCATTTAAAACTGAAATGAGGCGATTTGACATAGAATTGACAAATGAATGTAAAATAGTCATGCCAATTTTATCCAACACAGGTTCTATTGCCGATTTAAGCTGTCGTGCCGTGTCAAGTTAGTTGTGGTGGAGGGAGAACGAATCCTCCTCAAATAGCTAAGGATTAAAGCCGTTTTAAGTCCACAAAAACCTCGTAATAGTGGGTAGTAAATAGAGAGTCAAACTAGAACCAACCAGTGGCATTAACAAAGGCAAGAATCTGGCTAATGCTGATGCTGGAGATATCGCTAAGTGAGTTGAAGAAAGGGGCCCCTAGAAACTTAAACCTAGTTCTGGCCAGACCTGCACAAAAACACATCAGGTGTTCTGGTGTCATTTCTTCAAGTATTAGTAGACACGCACTACATGAGGTACCACAGGAAAGGCCAAGTCTGGCTCCATGCCGTCCTATGGACCAGTCACCCGTAAAGATAAATACTAGCTTAGAAACCTCAGATTTGTTTCTACAGAATAAGTCAGAGGTTCTATATTTGGAATAAATGGGCCAAGTAGCCCTTGACCTGGCTGCTGAGACAGTAAGGGTCCACTCACTATTTGCCTGTCGCAAAAAATGGGCACAAATCAGCCTACGCCCGTAGCTGACAGGGGCAGGGATCGAAATAGGGGTATCCGTGGAAGAGGGGCCTAGCTTAGCAAGCTCGTCGGCGCGCTCATTTCCCACAATATTAGAATGCCCGGGAACCCACACTAGAGTAACCTTGGACCTCTCACTTAGTTCACTAATAATTTCCTTACATTCTTCTACTAATCTCGATGACAGACAGACTGCTGATAAAGCTTTAATAGCTGCCTGACTGTCAGTTAGAATGCAGACCTCTTTTCCGTGAAGGCGCATATTTAAAGCAAGAACACTTGCCCTAAGGATGGCAAAAACTTCAGCCTGAAATATTGAGGTGGAATCTGAAAGGTGGTATGATTTACTAAACATTAGGTCCGTAGAAAAGATTCCGGCTCCAACGCCCTCATCCATTTTAGACCCGTCGGTGTAGATCGCTATCTTTCCTAGAGTTGTAAGCAAACCCGCCTCCCAATCTCCTCTTGAAGGAATTATGGTGGCGAAGTTATTGTCGAATAGTAACCGAGGACATAGGTAGTCTGAAACCCTGGCATCATCTATCGGATAGAGCGATGCGATATTACCATGTCCTAAAGCACTTGAGCGCCAACAGTTTAGATCTTTAAGCCTCTGCGCGCTGAGAGTAGCAGCTTGCTTGATGTAAATATCAATAGGTAGCAAGTTAAGTATGACATTGAGCGCACTGGTGAGGCAAGATCTTAGAGCCCCAGTAGCTCCCACACAGGCAGATCTTTGCATTCTGGTTAGTCTTTGAACAATGTACTGTTTGTTCAATGAAGGCCACCACACCAGACATCCGTATGTTAATATTGGCCGAACGACGGCTGTGTAAATCCAGAGAATCACTTTGGGCTGCAATCCCCAGCTCTTACCGTACATCCTTTTGCACGCATTGAAAGCCACACAAGCTTTACGAATTCTTTCGTCGATGTTGGCTTTCCAGTTAAGTTTTGTGTCAAGAATTACTCCTAGATACTTAACTTTGTGCGAAAGAGTTAATCTTTGGCCATTTAATCTTGGCAGCGGAAAGTTAGTTACTGTTTTGGTAAACAGTAACAGTTCTGTCTTAGAAGGATTAACACCTACATCACACTTTGAGGCCCATTTACTTAGGTTCAGAAAAGCGCCCTCCATGATGCTACTCAGCACCGAAGGGAACATGCCTGTTACCAGAAGGACAACATCATCCGCATACGCTACTGCTTTGACTCCACCCTGGTTAAGCCTTAAAAGCAGTGAGTTCATTGTTAAAATCCATAATAAGGGAGATAACACTCCCCCTTGTGGTGTACCCCTACTGACGCATTTCCTAATGCTAAGATTGCCCATCTCTGCATTGATGATTCTAAACCCAAGCATAGAAGCGATCCATCGGGAGATACAGGCCGGGATGTTCATTTCGCTGAGAGCATCCTGAATGGCTACCACACTGACGTTATTAAAAGCTCCTTCTATATCCAAGAAGGCGGCTAAGGTAAACTGTTTACATCCAAGAGATTTCTCCACCACAGTAACGACCTCATGTAGTGCCGTTTCTGTGGACTTACCTTTGCCCACTTGCCCACTCTCTCAAGGGAGAGAAGGAATCGATGGCCCACTTGATCCTTCTAGATGATACCACTGACTGTATAGTCTCGCCAGAATTGGTTGAACGATACGACAATACCTTTGGGGGATCACCCGAGGAACCAGGAAAATGGGTATCCACTAATAGTGAGAGGGATTCCGTTAGGGATTTAACTGGATTTCCATCTACTTTGTTAATGAGCGAGGGACAAGAGTGGCCATTTGCTAGCAATTTGGCTAGTCTAGCCGATTCTTTAATGCTTTCAATTTGCTGGCAATGAGAATTCCATGACAATTTCTTGGATTCCCGAAGTGCTCTTTTGTAAACCCTAAGAGCATCTTTATATGGAGTCCAAACCTTGGTCCGATAGCTTTCGTTGAAAGCTCTTCTTGCATTCCTGCGGAGCAAAGAGAGCTTCTCGTTCCACCATCGTGGCCTACATTTCTTCGCATACGAGCGAGGATATGATGCTTCAAAGGAAGAAATAATTTTATTTGTCAAAGAGTTGACCCTACACTCCAATTCCCTAATCGAGTTAATTGGAGCGGGGGCTATGTTGATTTTTCTACTGAGCAATGACCTGAAAGTATCCCAGTTTGTCTTCCTGGGATTACGGTGAGATTGCTTAGCTACCATGGGAATATTCATCACAAACATGATATATCTATGATCAGAGAAGGAGTTCCTGGTTGAAACTCTCCAATCATTGATCGTTAAAGAGCACGAAGTCGAACAAAGGGTAATATTTAAAACCTCTTCCCAGCCTACATGATCATCCGTACTCGGAAAAATGAAGGTGGGAGTGTTACCCTTATTACATACTTCTAGATTACATCTTAATATAAAATCAAAAAGAGACTCACCTCTATCGTTAATTTCCGAGCTTCCCCACAAGGAGTGCCGGGCATTGGCGTCACAACCCATCAGCAAGGCTAGCTTCTCGGTCTGCGCGAAATTTTGGACTAGTAGTACCCCCTCTGGAGGTACCTCATCATCGCGTGGCATGTAGGCGGATGTTACTAAAACCGCAGGTTTTAGCTTCCGCTCTATCCGGATGGTGGTGATATCTAAAGAACTTAAATGAGAACAGAGAAAAGCATTAAGGTGCGTTTTTGCTAAAATGCACGATCTAGGCTTACCCTGTCCTTTGTCATAAAAAGGATTGTACCCATTGATGTTTAGCCCTTTGACACATGAGCTATGAACCCAGGGCTCTTGGATGATGGCAAGGTCGATGTCCTCCTCCCTGAGTAAGACAGCCAGATTATCCGTGGCACACTTAGAGTGTTTCAGGTTTATCTGCACAACCTTAGCCATTAATACATCAACAAGGTTTGTTATCGATGATGAGGTCATCTAGCAGCTTACTAGTGCCCTCAACCTCATCCAGAATATTATCCGGTGGCGCGTTTTTGAAGATTTTAATTTTTGCCTTCCGGATGCCGTAACGCAGCTTGCAGTCATTAGCCTCAATGACTGGCAAGCATTCTTCGTTGATAAGAAGTAAGTATGATTGGCTGTGTTTTTGCGGTTCTTCGGTCTTGAGAACCGACCAGTCTTCCATCTGGATTTCTGGATTTTGTAGCTTTAGCTGCTGCAGAATAAGGTCAGGAGGACCAGGGTTTTTGGGTAACCATACGCGCGCTCGAGGCCTCGATGGAATTTCCGCCGCAGGGACAAGTTTGAGCTTTAAACCGTCCCAGTTCTCACTAATCTTAGTGATCGCCTTGCTGAGAAAACTCCGCGAATACTCGTCGTCGCATCTGATCACTCGGTGACCACGGACGATATCTGCACAGTCAAAAGAAGTAACGGACCCCGAATTAGTCATGAGCTCAGCCATAACCAATTCGGACAGTTTGGTCTCAATCTCTTTCAGCAGCTTGCCGTTAGAGTTGTGTTCGTCGATCAAGGCCACACTGAGATGGTCTCTCGCCACTTCACTGAAGGGACGAGTAGCTTGTGCCGGTCTTTACATTAGCTTTCCATCCCCGTTCCATCCTTGTGCCGCTTCGCCTCCTTGGCGGGATCTTCCTGAGATCTGTTACGCTTGCCGCCATCTCCGACGTTCTTGCCGGTGATAACAGACTGGCGCAGACCTTCATCATGAAGATACTCCTCCACAATGGCGCGGTATTTAACAGCGTCGGCTTCGTCTCGTTCATGGACCTTGCCTTCTTTTTTATTGCTCTCAATTTTTCTTAGCATAAAAAGCGCTCGCTGGTATCGATTTTTGCGTGCCATGTTGGCCGTTATTTTCCGAGATTTAGCATTGCCCTTACTGCTTAGACTGGCAGTTTTAAGCGTTGGCGTGCGGTTGGCAGTCGGTCTACTTTGACTGGTAGACGGAGTGCCGTCGATTTTTTTGGTTGTTAGTTGGATTGGATTAGACGCCGGTGTACTATGACTAGTACAACCAGTATTGGAATCGGCAACGATCTCGTCGTCCGATTTCAACAATTCGTCCTCCGTAAGTTTGGTGGGTTTATACTCTCCAGCCACGAGTTCCGAGACATTGTCGGAAGAATTCATAACATATACATAATCGTCCACCTTACCCGGTAAGACAGGCGCGGCGGACCCGAGGATAGTTGGACGAAAGAAGCGACCACCACAGCAGCGTCCCATACCATGGGTAGACCACAGTTACTCCCCAAGGCGGTCATATATTGGAGAGGCTCCGCAAAAATACAGTCGGACAGACCCCTTGACTGCAAACCAACACTCGGTGAGCACGGATCGCGTAACACTCCCGAGTTAAGGGGACCTTCAAACCATGATCAGAAAGCATTGAGTGGTGTGCAGCTATTAAAGAGCTAAGGACAATCACTCAATTCCTCCTGATCTTCGCTGGGCACCGTCCTGACAACGTACAGAACGAGAAAACTGTGTGACCCATTTCCAGACGGCACCCTCGTGGAGGGTTCAGTAGAAGGATTTTTTGCCATCCATGCCGTGTCAAACTCTGTTCCATTTTTAAAATCATGGGCAGAAAGGATCGCCCAGAGATTTTTAATGAGATTTAAGGACGTGTGCGAGTTAGACTAAGTTGATGCTAAACCAAATGAGAGATTTTTCGGAATTTTTTGCACTGCACACATTTAGTCATTTATCAACACGTATCGACATATCACTACATTATCGGCACAACTTAAAATTTCCTACATTTAGAACGCAACTTAGCCTAACTCGCATATGTCCTAAGTCGAGATTCAATACTTTCCACTTCAATACAGGAATTTTTCTATCACCAAAAAATAAATTTGTTGTCTGTGCATTGTCAAATGATGCATTATTCTGTTAGTAGATCTCGTCATCGCCATATAAATTACCGGGAAATTACACTAACTCAGTATCCAGATGCTCCACATATGGTATATGCTGGCATTCATTCGGGTAGATATAAAGCATATAGAAATCTTTCTTTATGTGCTACGTAGTCTAAACGATTAAAGTATAGACTTTATTCATTTTAAGACTCGCTTCAACGTAGTATATACATATGTATATCGATATTAAAATAAAAAGTATTTTACATCACTATGACATGTTAACACGTTTCGATCTTAAATACGACTATAAATTTATAAAAAACTGTAATTCATCAAGAGAGCAATGCACTACGTTTTTTGTGGGTTACATAGATTTGCCACAAAAATGTTCTTTCATTGTATGTTAACGTATCATAAATCTGCAACAACAATTGCATGGCATTTATTTCATACGTATTTCACGAATAGCCATTTATTGGAATTGATCTTATTAAGTGCAATAACTGTGTAGATTGAACGAATGCGCGTACACAGGTAGGGTCTGGGGGAGGCGCTCGCCCACCCTACATATCAAAATGTTATTGTTTTGAATAAAAATTTAACACTGTTTACAAGAAAAGTTTAAAATGTTTCTTTTTTTGTGAACAAAACCTAATTTTCAAGTTTTCAATGAACTAGCGATAAATATACTAGCTAATATAAGTCAAATAGAAAAAGAAAAAAGTACTAAAGGGGGGTGCCTTACCACACTTTAAAATATATAATAATATCATATTAGTATATCAGCGGTTACCCACTAATTTCGGCCCTGGGTACGCCCATGATTGAACGGTCTATTACATGAACGCGACATATGTCCGCTTTTACAGTTCCATGTTTCTTAGTCACAATGAATCGAACGCTTAGTTAGCGGTACTAAATTGTTTCAAAAAAGCAGTGAAGTGCATCGATCTTCTTGTAGATATTAGTGCTGTTCACATTATTCGAAGTTTTTAAAAATTCAAAGTTCTTCGAATATTCGAATATTCGCATTTCAACGAAGTCTTCGAAGTTGGAAAAAACTTCGAAGTTTTTGTGAATTTTTGTTCTCGAAGTCTTCGAAGTTTAAGTGTAGTGAAAAACTTCGAAAACTTCGAAGACTTCGTAAGCAAAAGGTGAAGTGAGAGCGCAAAATGCAAACAAACGTGCATCACACAAATTATTTGAGGGATGAAAGCATTTGCTTCGTTTGTATGGTTTTATGTTTTTTTTTTGGTATTCTATGCAGAAAATTAAAAACATGTTTTTATGTTTTATTTTATTACATAAAATTTATTTTATTATTAAATATGTATTATAATATATATTATTATTAATATGTTATTATTAAATATTATTTATATTAAATAAAAAATTTACATTTCAAATAACTTACATTTATTATTTATATTTAAAAAATTATATTTGAGAAAATTTTTAATATAATATAAAATATATACGTAATAATATGAAAATATTGATATTGATGGATTTTATTAGTAAAGGAAATTTTATAAAAGCTTTCATTTTCCTTTAAAAAAAAAAAAAACAAATTAAGACCTTGAAAATTAGTTATGAAAAAATGAGTTTTGCTCATTAATGCATAATTATTTGACATGTATGAGCTGTGATGATCACACAGGTAAGCACAAATTTATTTTTTGCATAATAAAAAAATAATTTTTGATTTTTTTATTGTAAATATAATTTTTTAAATATAAATAATAAATATAAGTTATTTAAAATGTAAATTTTTTATTTAATATAAATAATATTTAATAATAACATATTTAAAAATAATATATATTATAATACATATTTAATAATAAAATAATAAAATAAATTTTATGTAATAAAATAAAACAAAAAACATGTTTTTAATTTTCTGCATAGAATAACAACAAAAAACATAAAACCGTACAAACAAAGCAAACGCTTTCATCCCTCAAATAATTTGTGTGATGCACGTTTGTTTGCATTTTGCGCTCTCACTTCACCTTTTGCTTACGAAGTCTTCGAAGTCTTCGAAGTTTTTCACTACATTTAAACTTCGAAGACTTCGAGAACAAAAATTCACAAAAACTTCGAAGTTTTTTTCAACTTCGAAGACTTCGTTTACTATTCGAATATTCGAATTCTTCGAATACTTCGTAAATTCGAATATGAACAGCACTAGTAGATATCATCACGGTTGCCACTTGAAAATTTTTTTCTGTACCAAAATTGGTTTAAAAAGGTACCATTTCTGTAAAAAAAGGTCCAAAATTTTTCTATTGTCTTTTTAGAAGAAAATACAATTTATATAAAATGTACAAGAAGTATAAAACAATACAATATCCACAATAAAGTTGGGTCGCCGAAAATGTACCATTTTTTGAACATCAGTACCAGAGTACCAAACGGAAAAAAAATACCAATTTTGGTACTAAAGTACCATAAGTGGCAACCGTGGATATCATATCTTCTTACGTTGCCATATCGTTGAAAGAAAGTTTTCATGCTCTCTATTTTTAGGACTTATTAAAAATCAATTCGAATCAATATTTTATCTATATAAATGGAGATAAACGCATCGAAAGTGCCCTTTTGAAACGTGTAACGAAAACAAATGGTTTTTAGCAATTGAACCACCAAAGCCCTTCATAGAAAAACTTGGCAAGGAGAACGAGTGCTTCATTAAAGCAACACACGAAGTGTATCAAATGAATTTGCAGGGAAGATTTCTTTTATCATATTTACCATACAGGATTTTGTAAGTGACACCTTGCACATATAAAAATAAGTACTGTATAAAATAGGTAAAGTTAATTTTTTTTATCAATTTTATTAATTTTTTTTTTAATATTACGTAAAAGTTGTAAACCCATAAATCAATACAGAGAAAAATTGAATATTAAGATTTAGCATTTTAGTTTACTTTAAGTCAAATGTATATTACTAATGTATATTATTTTATTAATTATAATTTATAATAATTTCAAACGTTTTGTAATATATTGTAATAATTTAACTTTCATAAATTTTCTTTAAATATATTCATTTAACATGTTTTTTAAAATAACACTTGATAAATTCAGTCTTTTTAAATAAATGATAAACTTAGGTATACTCCTTTCAGCAGAATGAAGGATCAATTAAAATAAATGCCTTAAAATAGTTTTTCAATTAAACAAGCGATAATAAGTAGTCTTATTAGTATTTGAAAAATTATTAATTAACACATTCTATTTCTTGAAGTGCATTACATTATTTTGTTTACATTGAGTTTTAGTCTCAGCAAAATATATCTATATATACATATTAAGCAAATTATATTAGTGGTAAATAGTTTATTATAAAGTGGACAGCGGTTCAAATCTGTAATATTGAGCGATTAAAGGACTTGCAAATACTGATTTTATTAGTTTTGATATTCTTCATGATTTTCTTTTAGTTCCATAAATAAGTATATAAAATTTATATATTTAAACTTTATACCTTGTTTTATATTATGGGTGTACCTCTCTAAGTGATATAACTAACATTTAGTCATTATCAGAAAAGTAAAAAAAAC